CGGTCGCTCGGTAGGTATAGTCCGCTTGCGGACTAAAACCGTGGAGTTATCTTAGCTAGGAGAAAGGAAGTAACAGGAGGGTGGAGAAAAGTAGACAGTGGGAAGCTTAAAGCAGAATTTATCTTTCTGCTCATGCGCCTCAGCTGCTACTCTTATATTTAAGGACTTTGATGTGTATGAAATCAAAATCATTTCTCTTAGTCATATGCTGCAATGGTATTTTCTTAATTATTAAAATATTGTAACATGTAGACCAGTTGCTAACTAATGACTTTGTAAACAAAGCCGCTGCTAAGCAACAGTGGAACAGAGTGATACTTAACTTCTATTATTCTCTAAACGATTCTAGTTTCACTGTCACGTCTTTTGTTAATGTGTAAGTGTTTATTTTGTTTCCTTCCTTGGCTCGTGTTCACTTTATTATTGGCCTCTGGGCTGTTGAATAGGCAAGTAAATAAAAATAGAACTGAATCTATCCGAATGGAATTGAAATCGATGAGGAAGAAATAAGTGGACCTGAAACACACGTGTGGGAAGCAAGAAATGCTTAGAGACTTCCAACCGGAAAACCAGTAGGGAACTAGTGAGACCTAAGTTTAGATTGAAGTATGATGTTAAAACGGGTGTTGAAGAGACGCGAGTGTTAACTGAATTAAGCTGGGCCGTGTTCAGTGTCCAGCAGCGGATTCTTGTGAACACGGAATTGCATCTCCGGTTTCCATAAAAGACTGAAAATTTCTTGACTATATGATCCCTTTATTAGCATGCTAAGAGACATGCTGCTCCCTGGGATCAGTTGCTCCGTAATGTTTTGAAAACGTGCCCGGAAATTAAATTCTAGATGGCCTACTCGATTCATGAATGTGAAACAAACAACCTAAAGGCTTCACATTGCGCCAAACGCTTTCTTCCCAATGATAGCATAACACAAGAACGAGACAGACATTCCCAACTTCGGAAATATGATTTTGCGATTTTTCTGAAAAGAAAAGAGCATATTCTTAGCATATCTACACGATGAAAACATCAAAGTAGTCCAGTATATGACGACGAAATTGATCTCACTTCTTCAGCTCACCTACATGGACCAGAGTCCTTCTAGTAGAATTGATTGTAGCTCATCTTACCAAGAAAATCCCTTTCGTAACATCATTATTAAAAAGCCTGTCATAGGGCATCCTGAGCCAGTTTAATCCAGTTCACATACTTACACCCTATTTCTTGAAGAACCAACGTATATTAATACTATCCTAACATCTATGTCGTGGTCTCAAAAGCGGTCTTTTCGCTTCAAATTTTCCGTTTAAACTTCTCTACTAAATTGCAATCTCCCCGAAGCGTGGTACATGTCCCAACCTCATCCTTCTTCATTTCATCAGATGTAGTTAAGACTAGCAACACGAGATGTCCTCCAATTGCGTAATGTTCATACACAATTTTAATGAAAATTAGTGTCGGAAATATTGCTCTGTAGGCCTATAATTTAACGGGGGACGGACAGGCCGACGGATGTCGTTGATTAGATTCTGAAGATGTCGTATTCTCTCAGAACGCTACAAATTAAATAAAAACACAGTAACTTCTATACAAATGCAAAGTGTTCTTTAACCCCGTTCAATTGGAGATAAGCAGTGTCATGTCGTTTTAATTTTTTGTTCTCAATGGCTCTTCTAGCCCATTCAGGGCCTGGCCTCTTATTCAGTTCCGTAATCATTTTACACAGTCGGCAGGACTCCTTGGGGGAATGATCAGCCCTTCGCAAGGCCGCTACTTAATCACAGGACAACATAAATACAGAATAAACGCATACACACACCAAACATCCATGTCCTGAGTGGGCTTCGAACCCATGATCCTAGCGTCCGAGCGAGCGAAGATAGTTCATAACTTAGACCGCGAGGCTACTGTGACCGGCCATGTCGTTTTAAATAACTATTGTAAATTACAAGAACAATCAAATAAATTTTAATTATTAAGTCATCTACACGGACAGATATGTCTTGCAGCCAGTACATGAAGCAATAAAAGTTGCAATATGCCCAACAGTAAATTTCAGCTAACCTCTCTTCCCAGCAAATATTCTTGTATTAGAGAGCGTTGAAATCACATTTGTCTATCTGTAGCTTGCATCTTCAAAACGTGATACTTGTTTCGCCAGTACATTTTTTCTTTTCAAATTTGTCTAAAATAGTAATAAAGATCTCAAATTAGAAATTTCCTGCTTATACATATATTCCCTCTTCTCTCATAATTACCTCAACGTTAGATCCAAGTATTCCCACAGGCATTTCCGCTATTAAGAGGTCTCAATCGATGTTTTTTCTCAAGGCAGAAACTTAATACTATATAGGCCTTCATGTGAAAACAAATAAATTTAAGGGCTTTTGTGACACATTTCAATTTGTAGATACTTTGGAAAATATAAAGGAAAACAAAGAATCCTGAAGTTATTGACATGTACTTATAGATTTTGTCCTGCCCTTAATTTTGTCGTGAATATCTGGGTGGTCTATTTTAAAGGAGGGGAACTGTAGAAAACGTAATAATAAAAATATTACAAATGAGTCACGGAAAGCCAGGATCAAAACAGAACAGGAGAAATGACGGCGAAGTGTGTAATTACATGGGAACAGCTGACCTCGTTACAACCGATAATTGGGGACCACCGATCCGATCTAATGAGAGAAAGCAATAGCGACACTTCAATTACACAAACTGATAATGACAATAATTAATAAAATCACGGCAAGTTCTCTCAGTGTTGCAAGATTTATGTTCTATATTTAAAAGTTAACTACTACTTGTTATGGATTGAGAACGATTGGGCCAATCATTGAAATGTAATATTTCAATGTCTGCCAACATCACAAAGCCTTTCTTGATGGATTTCCGCCACTTTCCTCTATACATCTAAATTATGCCTGTAATCACCAACCTTTCACAGACCCAAGGTTGCTTATGTAATGCCTGCTTTAACGTACTTAAACTCTCCATTGTGCCCACAGAGTGCATTTATGTGCTTCGCATGGTTCTCACAATAAACAGTGACGTTTTCTCTAAACGGCATTAAGAGATTGACCACATTAAAATACAAACCTTTAATTAGGCTATAAAATCATAAATATAATCGGTGATTCTGAGAGATCATGGCTTTATTACGTGTGTTGAATGAAAAGAAATACTAGATTTTCTATACCATTCTTCAACATAAACCAAAATAAAACTGAACAAGACGGCAGTAATGAAGTCGAAATAGTCCAACATAAAATTTCCATATGAACTTCAATTCACGGAGAAAACTCTTCTTGAGATGCTAGTAGTGGCTCAGATGGTCATGAAATTCCCCATTTTCTACAAGACAAGAGTGTTTATCGCCGTGTTCACAAGAGCCCGCCACTGGCCAAGATCCATCCCATGTCCTCACATTGTTCTATCAGATTCAGCTCAATTCTCCCATATACGATAAATGATATAAATTCCGTCCTAAGTGCAACAATTTATTGTAGGTCTTTCGTTTTGCTTTCTTCTACACTACATGTTTCGGCTGCAAACGGCCATCATCAGTGTATACACTCACGTAGCTGTTACACTGCACCCAGTTTAAAATTTAAAAACACAGATTTTCCCAATTGGCTAACAGGATCTACTTCGCTGCTATTTGTCTGATTCGTACATCCTCTTTGTCACCCACACACACATCAATTTTGACATTCATGAACTGGCACTTTTTTATCTTCAGTTCCATCATCATCATCATCATCATCATCAGTAATCTGTCAGACGACAGGTCCACAGTCTCTTCCAAAACAATTCCTCCACTTAATGCGATCTTGAGCTTTCTCCTTCAAATTAAATGAAAATATCCTCTTCTGTCCCCAAGGTCATCCAGCATCTTCTTACGTCTTCTTCCTCGTCTTCTTGTCATTTCTATCCGCCCCTCTATTTTTCCTTCAATAACTTCTTTTAGAAGACAGTTTCTGCGTAAAACATGACCAATCCAATTAGCCTTCCGTTTTCTTATTTCATGTAGGATATTCCTCTGCTCACTGACTCTAATTAACACTTCTTCATTTCTCATATAGTCGGTGAGAAATGAAGAAGTGTTAATTAGAGTCAGTGAGCAGTGGAATATCCAATTTTATAAAATTCCTTTAAAACTTTTTCAAAATTTTAAAATTTAAAATTCTCAGGGTTACTCGCCCCACGTCTATAGTGCTGCAGCGGCTACTTCTTGTCTTCAGCACTGTACAGGTGTTATTCTGTGTAGGCTCCCATATACACCAAGGAGTAAGACGTTTCTCTCTTCAGTTTTGTATCAGTATAAAGGCCCAGGGCCAGGAAATCAAAACACCTCCATCACAAACACGTCCCTCTGCACCCCGTTTCATATTTTGGAAACTCAAATTTCTCCCTTGGAATTCATTTGTGAATATAAACTCTGTTTCTCTTGTAAAATTATAGGATTATACAAAATTATGCGTAGGGACAATTAAGTATCAAAAATTATACTTATAAAATGCATATATAGAAGTAATTCCTGGAGACCAGCTCGGTACAAAACACGTTTCCGTGTAAACGTTCATTCAACAAAGACTTTCTAGGAGACCGCTACACTATATAAGAGGCCGTGCACATAAGAACGGATTAATTCGTCATTCTTAATCAATTCGTAAATCAGAAACGAGTCGCAGTAGAAAGGTGAATCAAGAACTAGTTCATTCGTAAATCTGTCCATGTCAGTCCCAGTAGAAGACAGACCAGAAGACAGTCGTAGTCCAGTTAGAATGGAGCTAATCTTAAGCAGTCATTTACAATGAGCTGTTTTAACTGATTGTGAATAAAAGTGGTTATAATGAAGGTGTCAATAAATCCAATCATCCGATTCAGAACCCGCTATTATTAGTCACGGAGCCATAGACTCGTGATAGAATACCTTGTTGTTATTAAATTTCAATTCAGAGGCATAATTAGATGTTCATCTTCAGAATGTGACAAGTTACCCAGTATTGACGATAGCATAAGCTTTCTTGGCTCGCTCATAGAAGGCAAAACGCTCCAGTGTTGTCACCTCGACCTTACGCCCTTCAGCTTTATGTATTATCTCCCGGTAAGTGTTCCAAATCGGTGTTCTCACCCCTCGCTTCAAATCGGCGTCTGTTACCGCCATCAGAGTCACCTGAAACAAGAACAGTTTCCACATATGATGTCAATCAGATCAGAAAGACCAAGTCTTCAATATCTGAAACAATATATGATACAACTCCGTCCTAAGTGCAAACTATATTTATAGATCTTTCGTTTTGTTCTTCTTTATACACTACATGTTTCGGCCCCAAACGGCCATCATCAGGTGTATACACTCACGTATGTTACACTGCACTTATTTATAACATTTAAAATTTAAAAACATAGGTCTTCCTGATTAGCACTTATAAAATCTTCGGTTCTAACTTGAAATCCTTTAAATTTTTTTCTTCTAATTTTAAATTTTAAAAATATCAGGGTTACTCGCCCTATGTCTATAGTGCTGCAGCGGTTTCTTCTTGTTTCTAGTACTGTATAGGTGTTATTCGGTGTATAAGTGCTAATTAGGAAGACCTATGTTTTTAAATTTTAAATGTTATAAATAAGTGCAGTGTAACATACGTGAGTGTATACATCTGATGACGGCCGTTTGGGGCCGAAACATGTAGTGTATAAAGAAGAACAAGACGAAAGACCTATAAATATAGTTTGCACTTAGGACGGAGTTATATCATATATCGTATACAGTGCAACAAGATGCTTAAATATAATATCTGAAACAATATTAGTGACAGGAATGTAATTATTTTAACATAATTAATTTTAAGACCAGACATTTTATATAAAGAAATTAATATCAGTTCACTAGATTGGTTCGTGTTTGTAAAAAGGTTACAAGCGACGGCGTGTCTGTAAAAGTAGAACTTTTTGAAACAAGAGCGATTTTCATGAGAGTCGAGGTAACCCCCATGTCACAGGCGCCATAATTTTCAGCAATGTCACCAGGCCTACGAAGAAGCAATCCATGTAATTAAATTTGGAGAACGTCATACAAATCGAATACTGAAATGCTTTATGGCTATCTTTGCAATAGGATAACTTCAACGTAAAATCATCGTCTGGTGGTGATAACAGTATAAAAATTCCCTTGTGGAATAGAACTAGGTTCTTCTTAAATGAAGATAATACAACGACCCTTGAAACCACACTGTTATTGTTGCCTCTCTACATCAAATTCAAAAGCCACTGCGCTGTCACGCAAATTCATTCATTCATTTATTTTAAAATTCCATGAATCCTCTCTGGTCACAATGTGCCTAGGATGTAGAACATGTCAGATTGCTATATGTACTGCAATAACCAATGCGGGTAAATAGTTATCATTGTCACAATCATGTAAAAACTAAATCATATACATATACATGTATTAGTTCACGTAGGATCCATTGTTAGAAATATGTATTATACATTTGGAACTTACCGGAGAAGGGACGGACTTGTCCAGAGGCATGAGCTGCAGAATGGCCGTCAGTAGCGTTGGGATATCGTGACCATCGGCGCGTATCACCTTCGTGCCTGCAGCCTTAGCCACGGAAGTGGACGGGAAGTTGGCATCTCCCAGCACTGCGCACACAGACATCACATGGCTTCTTTAATTCTGTACACTATGGTAAATTCGTCCTTGTGCTTAACAAACTAAGTACTATGCCATTAAGGCGTATGGGGGAGTGGATATATAGATCCACATTTTCTTGACCTCGGCACTAGTTGAAGGTGACTGGTCAGCTTCACGCCCCGGCCGCCTTACCTCCGGAGAACAGTCCCCGGTAGCCATTGTATAGGAAGCTGCGTGGGCTCCAGAGCCGGTCTGAACGATGTGGAGAACAGAAAACTCTTGACTCTACTGGGACCCGAACTCTGACCCATAGGTCGCTCAGCCCGTAGCCAGTCGTTATACCGATTACGCTACCCCGACTCCATTACTTCCATATACATCTTAATACTCTCTGAATCAATGCCAAAATCTCTCAAGGCCTCTTTTCTTCCCAGACATTTGAACCAAAGATATGCGTTCCCCAAAACCAGAAAACTGAATTATTTTAAATATAGAAAACAGTTTTCTGGGATGTGGCGCCGTGTAGATATTGTGTTAACCGACGTTTCGGAGGAACGTATAGCCTACATCTTCAAAGTAGAAGAGTTTTTCTTCTGTCCTGAAGATGGAGGCTATACTTTCCTCCGAAACGTCGGTTAACACAATATCTACACGGCCACACATCCCAGAATACTGTTTTCTTCATAGTCACCGCCGTGAAAACTTCAAATCTGACATATTTTAAATGTAGCTTACAAATTTCTGTTTCGTTATTGGTTGAACAACAGGCCTATTGTTTCAATTAAAGGATATAACATGGACTTGGACAGGACCCCTCCTTCTTCACTGCACTTGCTACACTATATTGCACATGCTATACGGGCACATCACAAGTCACTGTTCGTTGTTCTTCAGAACTCCAGCTACTTCTCGGCCGGTTGATCTGCTTCCCTGACAATGAAATGTCACCAAATATAAACTGTTGCTTTTATATAGTCGTCCCCTCAGTATGACATGATGCATCAAGTAAAAACCAAAATGCACTAAGAAATGTGGGGAGGGAGACGAACAAAAGAAGCCGGAATTAGAAAAGTAGGTATTGTTTTCCCCCTTTGTTCTAATTTCTTTTCAAAGAAAATCGTTTGGAAATTCCCATGGTGATAGATCTATGAAGTTTTTTCAACGTTTGAAAATAATCCCTTTTACTCAGAGATGACCGTAATTAAGCTGCCGTCTGCAAGACGGACTCATAGGTTACTTACACAAATATAAAGACGTATTCAGTTCCACTGCTGAACAGAATGGCATAGTTTTGTTTACGTTCACCCATGAATCACATATTCCCTTTTTTGGGTGATATACAATTTCAGTAAATACGGAATTACTACATTGAAATTATGAATATTCATTTCATACTTAGGGACAAACACTATTAACTGTAAACCAGTTTAAAGCACTTCTAGTGATTGTTTATTATGCTTAGTATTAGCAGCTGTTTGGACTTCGCATATCATTTTATATTCTAAAAAGCACAACACATATTTTTGTGTTCCTGATCTGCTGGCGTCCTGAAGAGGGAGCATCTGTTCAGTTGGGTTCATCAGAAGCAGTTGGGTCCAGTGACTGGGGTTAGTCCTTTCTGACATTAAGTATGAAGACTAGTGTAATAATTTGATAAACCCATCAGCAACAGTCCGCCATTTCAGTTCAACTAATCTGGACTGTTATAAAAATGTACAGTTTTTGGTATCGATTTTCCAAGCCAGTTCGAAGCCGATGTTGTCGTCTATCGAAGGAGCCCTACCACGCGTCTATAAGACTTGCTGCGTCAGAATTACTGCCGAGGTGCATGAGCTGAAAAGGCCCATTCATGAAGTGAACAGAGTGGCAGTAGCAGTAGCAGAATGAGTAGTAGAACTTTGATCTTTTAACGCTTGCTATCTATAAATCACAATCCATCAACTTGCAACATTGCTTAAAGACATTTAATCCACAAGTGACGGATGTATTTCTGAATCTTCGTATTATAAGAATGTTAATAATTCAACCGCTGAATATTCAAACAGATGATCTAAATTCTAAGAGACTATTACTTCAATTTAAATTTTATTAGGCCGATATAGTATTTCCGTAAGGTAAAGAAATCACTTTAGACAACAGTTATCTCTGCCAGTTCAGTGATTTTGTTAACTATATATATATACAGTGATGATACGTGCAAATTTCGTGTATACACCAGTTTAATGTATTTACATTTAATAGATTAGAAACGTGGCTAACAAATAAGTGAATTTAACTGCCCATCTAATTAATTCCCACTTTGAAATGCAGTTAAAATCATCCATCATTTGTTGCTAGAATAAGAATTTGTCGTTTAAAACACGATCGGTTGACTAATCGCACCAAAGTTCACATACATCTACCTGCACCAACTTTGGCCTACATCAACTTGGTCTTATATATGAGAACGCCCCATATGCCACTTTTGCCGAGACGTCTAGTCTTCTCACAGTACTAACGATGGAAGTAACCGACGTTTCACAGGGTCAAACGTAGGTATCAGTGATAACAAGGTAGAACAGAAGCTACGTAGAAAAACTGTCATTTGTTCTCAGCTACATATCTCGTGCCGAAATCTCCCTCATTAGCGTTACAGTTACAGGACGTCACGCTGGAATGGCTAGCATTCTTGCTTCGGATTAAGCAAGTGCCGGATTCTTATATCGGCCTAGAGGTTTCACATTCTCTTTTCGTGGTTTTGCTCAGTCACTCTAGCTAATTTCTGGGATAGAACATCAAAATTCGGCCTCTGTCACGTCTGTTGCGTGTTTATGGGCTGTTAGCTAGTAACGGGTCTGCATGCTACAATATACACGTACAGCTAAGAGTTAATTTTTCTGAATTTTTTTTAGCTTCAACGGCGGTACTGCAGAATGTTCAAACATTCAAGCGAATCATGAGTCAATTTACAAGTGTCCAAGCGTGTACATCAATGGAGTCCACGTATTTTCCAAATGCGTCTTCAAGAATTTTTATTCCTTTATTACCCTGGCCCTCAGTTCATTCATCGCAGTCATAAATAAATTTATTTTTTTCCTTAGTCTCTCTCTTGTGCTGAACTCTTGTGGCAGAAACGAATGCTTCAGTTCATAACACAGAACATCATAAAAAACTATTGTTGCAGAAATGAAGCAATAATACACGAATGAGTTATCTTCCTGCTTTCTTTTATTAAGCTTTTCAGATCAAAGATATCATGAACATGTACATTTTTTGGAAGAATACTATTTTCATATTTCGAATTAATTTTAAAATATTAGGTTCACATTATTTACTTATTTATTTTTGTTTCATCTTCTCCAAGTTGCGCTGCATTTATATGGCAGAAATATTCACGGAAGCTTCCTAACATACAGCAGAATGTACACACAATTAATCTAAGCAGGGTACTGTTCGTCGGTTGTTCGTGTTCATGGGAACCAAACGAAAATTAATCTGAGTTATGATTGGTCCGGGATGTAGCAGCAATTAACGGCAGTGTTTCAAGCTGAATTACCATGTTTTTTGTCAGTATTACAACGCAGACCTTTGCAGAGAAAACATCTCTGAATTATTCTTCTTCTTCTTCGTCTTATTATTATTATTATTATTATTATTATTATTATTATT